TCTTTGAGGAGTCTTCGTATCCATGTCGTCTGTTGAGCAGCTGCTGTGGCAGCTATGTATTCAGCCTCGCATGTTGATAGGGCTGTGATTGTTTGCTTCATTGATCCCCAGCATATTGGCGTTTCGTTGTAGAGATGGACCATTCCAGATATGAATTTCCTGTTGGTGACATCTGCGGCAAAATCTACGTCGCTGTACGTTTCGAGAAGGCTGGGGAGAGCGGTTGTGTTTGCGTTGTGTTTTCCGGCTTTGTAGAGCAATCCATGGTGCTGTGTGTGTTTGAGGTATCGAATTGGCAGAGCGCAAGGGGTGACCGCGGAGCACAAGGGGTAAAGGCGAAGTTCAGGGGGTGAATCGGAGCGCAGGGGTTGAAGCGGAGCGCAAGGAGGTTATGTAGCGGGTACGGGAGGTACAGGCGAGGTATAGCAGAGTGTAAAGCGGTGTAATGAGGGTGCTTCCCGGCGGCGCATGTGCCACGGCGCCCACGTCATGCGCGTTTCTGCGCCTCGTGCCGTACACGTGTGCGGGCGTGCCCCCGCGGGATCCCGCGCCCGTGCTGCGCGGTGCGCTACACTGCGCGCTCGGCGCGCGCCGCCACACCCGCCCCCGCCACCCCCGCCCCCCCGCCCCCGCTCCAGCGCGAAGGCGTCCGCGCGCCGCCCCGTTCTACGCAGCCAACTTGGCCACCGAGCTGTTCTTCGTGTTCGCGGCAGGCGGCGTGCGGCGCGCGCGCGACTGTATGACGACAGTGCGTTCGCGTGGCTTTAAAGAATCACATTTGAGTGGGACATTGGTGGTGCGCGCCCTTCAGGACCGTACACGCCACTGAGTGGCGTGTACGATCCTGAAGGGCGGCAGTGGCGGCCACTGCCTCGCGCACGTGTCACGCGCGGACCCCGAAACTCCAGCTCGTCATGACAGCAATGCAAGCCGGTTGCGCAGCGACTGTTGCTGCGGCCTGTCGCTCCCGCCTCTTGTCGCTCGCCGCATTGTCTGTCGCGCGGCATAATTCGAGCCCCCGCTTCCGCCCCCGTCTTCTCTAATCGTCTGCACACACGCCTCCCGCTCTGCCGCTCTGCCGCTCTGCCGCCCTTCCACTCTGCCGCCGCCTTGCCCCGCCGCTGCCTCTCGCCAGACCCTCCCCCTCCCGCCTTCCGCCTCCCCGCCCCGCGCCCGCCGAGACTCCCCCCCGCCGCCATGTACGCCGAGATCTTCAGCGGCCTGGTCGTGACGTGCGCCCTGGTGCGCTTTGCGCAGTACTACTTCTCGGACGCGTCGCCTGCGTCGGACGCGGCCAAGCCATCGGACGGCCCGGCCGCGAACACGCCCGACTTCCGCGCCTTCCAGAACAACTAACTGGTCGTATACCTGCTGGCCATCGCGGCCGACTGGCTGCAGGGGCCCTACGTGTACGCGCTGTACGCCGAGTAGGGCTACGGGAGGAAGGAGATCGCCCAGCTCTTCATCGCCGGCTTTGGCTCGTCCGCCGTCTTCGGCACTTTTATGTCTCGATCTTAGAAAAACAAGGTGCTGACGCTTGACAAGACAGTGTCTAAGACTGCGAAACAAGTGGGGTCAGCACTGAGCGGGGACTTAGTTGCGGAGTATGGGAGAGTTGGACGTTCTACGCACTGGCGGACCGGATAAAATAATCGACGCGGGATTGCGGGAAACTGAGCTGGAGTTGCATGGAAAAGCAATACGCTGCATGTGCTGTGGCACAAATAGGGAAAACGCAGGGATCTGGTGCGAACGTGATGCGGTTTACGAGCCACTACCGGGACGAGCAAGTGAACCAATTTGTGATCCCCCCGGTGGGCCTCACAAACGACGAGGTGGCTGTCAAGAGTAAGACGCAAACGGCTAGTGTGGACTTGGAGGAATTGTACGAAGAGGGGATTCTACAAGGTTACACACGCGCGGTCGCGTAAGCGACGGCAGTTTTGTGCGGTTTGCAGGTAGTGAAGAAAAAGTACGCAAACGGGAAAAGGGGATGAAGCTACGACGCGGCAGGGATGTGATCTGGAAAGCGACGGCCAAGAAGCGAATCAAAGCTGTGGAAGGGACGGGCGACTACATGGAGAATGCGAACCGCAAGCGAAAGCTATGGAGCAATACGGCCGACGCGAAGGAAGTGAATGAGCAATGCGTGTGGGGACGAGTCGTGCGGAGAAAGCGGTTGGCCAAGGAGATGGAGGACAAGGAGATTGAAGAGCAGGAAAAGGAAAAAGTGAAGGAAAAGGATACTGCGAGTGAGGGCCAGTCCTAACAAAGGACTTTCCTCTCGTTTTTCCTTTCCCTCGCCCCGTTTTTATTGAGTTCTTCACTAAAATCGGAAGCACATTGCTGTAGTTTTTACTGTAATGCCATCCCATAGTTCCACTCCTCGGAAATGGAACAGAGTCTGGACGGTCTGCAGATCCATGCAGCATGGAAGGTACAGCAACGCCTCCTCGCGCATGCACATGGCCCAGTCTGACTCCCTGTAGCTCGACAAAAGCAAAGCTGGACGACGTGTTGCTATAATGAGGTCCCTCGATGTGCATGACCAAAACTGGGCTGGATTGAGATATGAAACGAAATATATGGAAGGGATGGAGGGTGCGGGGAGAGACTGTGTCGGTGTCGATGTTAGGAGGATGACGCGGTGGCGGGGACAATAGCATGTCGGAGGATGTGTGTTGGTCACGGTACTGAGGAGGTGAGGAAGATGGTGATGGGGCGTGGTGGGCGGGCGCGAGGTAGGGGTGGCGAGGAGGAGGGGACGTGGGGATTTTGGGGGGGAAGGGGGGGTGGCGGGGAGGAGGGGACGTGGTCTTATTTGGGGGGGAAGGGGGGTTGGTGGCGGGGGGGAGGGAGCGAGGGCGGGGTGGTTCACAGGAAAGGGATTTCGGCGAAGCCACTTCATCATCGATCATGAACTAGAGAGCAGCCTCCCCGGCTTCTCTCCATTTCATGATCGATGCCAAGGAGGCATTGGATTTCAAAAAGCTGAACTCTGGGTGCTGAACTTTGGGT